TTTACACACTCCATTTAACGAGGTTTCAGACAACACGTTCTCTTTGACCGCATTATTCACTCTTACTTGTGTCTGTAGGTTAATATAATTGTAATAACCAGATAGTTCGATCTGGTGGTTTAGCGATAAACCTGAGGGCTTATAACTCTAAATTTTGTGTTTCGATACTTGCAGTGAACGCATAATAGATAGTCCATTGCACTTAACATCAAACAAATAAAAAGTAAATTCAAAACATATGAACTTTTGCGCCATTTACTGTAAACAACTTTTAATTATCATGATAATTAGCTATTTTCAAAAATGATGATTTGGAGGGCTTTTTCTTGTAACCTTTCTTTGAAATTAAACTCTATATTATTTCTGAATATCATATTATATAGTAACTGTGTAAGAAAATTCATTCGTAAACCAAATTTTCTTTAAGTTTCCAATTGGAATAATGTTTACCATATTGTCGTGATATAAAAAAGTTAACCATGCCTATCGTTCTGAGTTTTATTCTTTAAATATATTAGCATAAAATATCTGCATTCAGCTGTGAGGTTCAAAAGCTCTTTCATGATTCACAAAATCCCCAATGTACTACCGTTCAAACTGCTCCATTATCCCCAGTTACTTCTGTAGCTGCGTCAAGGGAGTACGTACTCCAAACAAATTCCGTTAGCACAGCCGCCAGTGGTTCCTTGGATCCTGAGGGGTGCAAGGAACACAAAATCCCCAATGTACTACCGTTCAAACTGCTCCATTATCCCCAGTTACTTCTGTAGCTGCGTCAAGGGAGTACGTACTCCAAACAAATTCCGTTAGTACAGCCGCCAGTGGTTCCTTGGATCCTGAGGGGGTGCAAGGAACACAAAATTCAATGCCATATTTGAGTCAAGCGACCCTGCAAACCCACTCCCTGGCCTTCATAATGCCCCATGGTAGGGGATACTCCATATAGATAAGTGCATCCACCTGGCTACTCCGAGTCTGGCTGCCAAAACTATAAAAAGGGTTCTCGGACAAACAAACACATAAATAAATCATACGCAATGTGAATTAATACAGAAATAGGATATATATATATATAGCTATATATAATGTAATTATACAGTTATTCTCAAGAGCCTATGGTTAAAACAAATTCCTTCCATCTTCTCTTACTCTTACTTCACCAGGCCTTCATAATGAATTTAAAATATATGACGCTTCCTCTCTTTGGCCAGTTATATTTTCACTTTATGGCTTCTTTATAAGAATATTTGTTATGGGTTGTCGTAATACGGCAAATTTCACTTTCTAAAGATGTCGATTATGATAGTGTATCTTTCTTCTTCAGGGGAAAACTGGGAAACTTTTGCCCCTGAAGAAGAAAGGTCCACCTCGAGTTAAAGAGTTTTTATTCATTTCTATCAAGACTTCTTGAACGTACGTATTTTTCTAACATCATGAATATCATGATAGTGTGGTAGGTATAATTAATAAGCTTAGGTTAAAACTGGTTTCACCTTACTTATAATAACTTTTCATTTTATATTTTTAGGCCTTTGCCAATAAAAATGTTTAATGAATCATTTAGGAACTATAAGGATACTACCAAACATATCTTGCTGTATCGGATAGACCTAAAAAACGTAGGTCTAACATGGCCTAGTGGTTAGGGCACTCGACTCGCAAGCTACGGGTCGTGGGTTCGAATAAAAGTCACCGAACATAAGGTGTTATACTGTGACTGCCAATCCCACTATTCTTTGATATCAGAGTAGCTCAAGAGTTGGTCTGGGTAGTGTTGACTAGCTGCCATCCGTCTTTATATCATATTTAGCAGAGATAGACATCGAGTATCTTTGCGCGAAATTCAAAACATATCAAAACTAAAGTATTTGATTATCGTTACAGAAACTAATAAAAGGTAACTAAATAGTGACCAGATTTAAGTCATCAGTTCTCATTATAAGCTTGTCATCGTCTTAGAGGAACGATGTATTCCAAAATGGAAAATATATGTTCGTTACAATTTAATTGAACTTCAGTGGGCGCTTTTGTGCAATTGACTCATTCTGAAATTACAAGGGCGTGGTATGGCATGTATGATCATTAAAACTGCTTAAATAAAGGGGTTGGGTAAAAAAGGTCCTCCAAAAATTAATAGAACACCGAAAATTGTCACCAAGTTACGTTAGAAACAAATTAATTATACGAAACAAATCCAAATAAAATTACGAAAATAACGCTCGTTAATATGTATACTACTCAAATGATCTACATAAATAATATACACACACATTGCGTGGATATTAAATTAACAATTTTGTTCAAGTCTTTTAAACAATGCGATTACATTAATTATGTAATATCTGTTTAAACAGTAATGTTTATTTGCTTGCAGTTAAGCACAAAGCTACACAATGGGCTATCTGTGCTGTGCCCGCCACGGGTATCAAAACCAGGTTTTTAGCGTTATAAGTACGTAGACTTGCCAATGGGGGGCATACAGTCATGCATTACAAACTTAAGTAGTGCAAAACTTGTTAAAACTTCTTAAAATTAAGTACATTAGTAATAAATAATAACAATAGATAATACAAGAGTATATACATATTTATATCGTCATTTTAGCATGAATGTAAAAAATAAAATAACATAATTGTAGAAATACATCCCAAAAAACATAATTTTTCCATTAATTTTCTGAGGATTTATGTTTCTAGGTTGAAATATTATTTCCTGCTCTTTTGTTTCTCTGTCTGGGAAGTTTTACTTAAAGGGTATCTTTGAGAATGAGGACGTCTATGTCACTGACAGAATGATTGCTAAAATTAATTTTTTTGGATACTGGAAGATTAGAATTTCCATTTCCTACTCGTTTAAGGTATTTCTGAAACCTGTTGCCAAGTCTGCTGTAAAGTATGCTATCCCTAGTGCGTCGAATAGAATAAATCAAACAGATATAACGGTGTATTGTCCTTTCATATCAAAAAATTATTTCGGTCTCTTCAAAACGGTATTGATGTTGACGTAGTTACAGGTAAGGCAGATACGTTGTTCGCAAAGCCTAACTTTGTTTTCGTTCTTGTCGTATTTGTTTTTTTGTTGACGCCTCAGTTTAGAATGGGCAAGTGTCGTTATTAAATTTCGCACGCGTTTGCGACAAGTCAAAGCGTGCTGAAGAAACGAAAGAAAATGTGTTTTGTTCTCGAGTTATTGTTTCAAACTTACGGGAAATTCTTATATTAATGCGATAGTTTAGAGGGTGTTACATATAAAAAACACACGCAAGCTTAGAGGGTGATATATATATAAAACACACGACAAAACACAACAAAAAAAAAGAAAGAATTGCACTAGCGTCTGTTCAGTGACTTTGGATATTACGAACACTTTACTAGAATATCACCTGACTTAGAAGTTAGTTATCTCTCGCTTCTGAAGCTATATGAAATGTTTCGGTGTTTGAGTAAAGTGTTTTACTCTTATAAAGCATCTTTTGTTATTCTTGGATGAATAGGTTTGTAGTAGACGAGGATCTGTAATAGTGGTGTTAAAGATGAGTTAGGAGGTTTCGCTTAGAGCAGGGTGAAAGTCTTGAATCAACTTGAACTACATCAAATATGCAAGAGGAGCTACGTCAATGATGGTCAACGCATCTTTTAAAATAGAGATTTGGATCTGTTTTCTCATTGAAATTGATAGATAGCTGTTCTTCGATATCCCCATGAGAAAGTAGGTATACAAGGAACCAATTTTAGTTCCCATGGCAACCCCTTTGATCTACCGATAAAATCCTCCATTGAATTCGAAAGCATGAAAGTTAAAACAAATTTGGAAACTTTCAATAGTGTTCCAGTATTTCGGTGGAAAGTCTTGGTATAGGATTTTTTTCAGTTCCTCAGAGAAATAGAAGTTTTTACTACATATATTATTGCGTTATAGCTACGTATTTTTCTCATCTGTATTAGTTAGCACGATAGAAAGGACACACTTGCACCCGTGAAAACTCTGAATAAACCTCAATGTCAAGGAATAGAGAGGTATTCAAATTTTACGAGCGTGTTTACAAGAAGTGACATAGGGTCTCTTCACTTGTGCTCTGTCGACCCTCAGAGTTTCAAATTTAAATATTTAGGTATTATTCCAGGTCTTGCCAATAAACATTTAGGTTTTACACTGGGTCTTGCCATTAGCTGTAGCTTTTGATGAATGTATAACTAGAGAAATTTGGAAAAGTAGCAATATATATATATATGTATGTGTATGTATTATCTGGAGTTAAGATCCAAGAACTTAACAGACTTCTTTGTCCATATAAGATATTAGATCATTACTTTCCTTTGTTTTTTCCTAAGTGACGATATAAGATAACTGTATGTTTGTTTTTAAGTACACAGACTTCTTTGTCCATATAAGATATTAGATCATTACTTTCCTTTGTTTTTTTCCTAAGTGGCGATATAAGGTAACTGTATGTTTGTTTTTAAGTACACAGACTTCTTTGTCCATATAAGATATTAGATCATTACTTTCCTTTGTTTTTTTTCTAAAGTGGCGATATAAGACAGCTGTATGTTTGTTTTTAAGTGCACAGACTTCTTTGTCCATATAAGATATTAGATCATTACTTTCCTTTGTTTTTTTCCTAAGTGGCGATATAAGATAACTGTATGTTTGTTTTTAAGTGCAAAGCTACAGAATGAGCTATCTGCGCAGGTACCAAGGTCCGATTTTTAGCTTTTTAAACCCTCACACTCGCCGCTTATATACAGGATTCGCAGTAAAAGAAATTAAATCATGGTCTGCAAAACATTCACGGCACATTTTATGTGAATACCTCCATATTCACATTTAAATGTGGTGTAAAGTTTTATCTTAATTATGTGAAAATATATGAAGAGTGTCCAAGAAATTAGTTATCAAGACAGTAAACTCGCTTTAGAATTAAAATATTTATGTTTACAAAAAGTGCAAGAACTGTTGTGCATAGCAAGCAGTTTCTCCTCCATTTACCTTTGTTGCAGATCTTCCCATGTTAAGACTTTCATTAGGAGCGAATATACAGCATGATTCCATTAGGGAAGGAAGTGATGTGTACTTCGATTGTAACATTCAGGCCAATCCCTGGGTATCGGAAGTCGGGTGGCGGTTTGAAGGCAAGACTCTCTTTAGCGACACAAAAACGGGTATCATCATCAGCAACCAGACGTTAGTGTTACAGAAAGTTACTCGTGAAAGGAGAGGAAGATATCAGTGTGTAGCAGCTAATGTAGTGGGAGAAGCAGAAAGTGAGGAAATTATTCTACGTGTGCATTGTAAGTGATATTAGAGGGATATTATGTTTACGTTTTTCTTCAGCTATGAACAAATGTTTAATTTTCACAACATATGTTGTCTACTTTATATACTGGTTGATGTATCTTAATAATAGATGTTAATAATTTGCAACCACACCTTGAATAGTAAGAAGATAATGAATGGATATCTGTATTTTTAGTGTGATTTTTTATGAGATGGTCATTTGTAAAATGCGCTTGTATTATTTATTTCATTTTAGAGGTGTCTGTTATATATGTATACTGAGGTTGAATAATTAAACGAAGAGATTTATACAGATAATGCTAAAATATTGCATTTTAATTACATACGCGAACTTATCAGCTCAAGCTGTTAATTCAAGTTAGTTTCTCTTTACACGTTTGAGCATCACATGTATTTTTGTTTTGTAAGTGTATCGTGGGAAAGACGTATTCTGTAGATTATCATACGAGTAATATTAATTGACAGTTATCAATTCATTTGACTAATAATGTCTATGTTTCTCAGAATAGTAAAGGATTCTTATAAAGTAATTATCTATTCAATTAAAAGAGTCTATACCATGGACCTTGTGATATGCGGACAAAATATTTTGCGGACATGGATAAAGGATGATGGTCTGTGCGTTTCTGGAAATGACACTAGGGATGATGCACATGGTTATATGTAAATAATACTGACATATAAACGGATGATGGAATGGGCAAACGTTATTCTTTCACCATAAGTGGAAGGCCACTGTGTTAAGTTTGGAACAAATGATCATGTTGGTGAAGCTATACAATCAAAGTTGACGAAACGCTGAGGTACTATTCGGGAAAAGCCACCATAAAACTAGCACAACATTGGACATTGTTATAGAAGATTTATATGCAATAAAAACCCTATATCAGTGGATAATGTTGTAGAGGTTGTGCATACCACTAAAACCCTACATTAGTGGGCATTGTTGTAGAGGATCTGCGTACCACTAAAATCCTAAATTAGTGCACATTGTTGCAGAGGAACTGTGTATCATCAAAACACTACATCAGTTGATATTGTTGCAGAGGAACTGTGTATCATCAAAACACTACATCAGTTGATATTGTTGCAGAGGAACTGTATACCCCCAAAAACCTTGTTGCAAGATCCATCCATGCTGAAAACAGTGCCTGAGATGGAGCACGTCGGAATGAGTTACTATGATCAACAATGAAGAAACCATTGCGCATTATCCTCCATACGTTTCCTTACAACTTGCGCCATTATGAACTCTGAAAAACTTTGAATTGGAATTCATAGTACGCATTACTTTCCCTAGATGAAAACTTCCCAAGGTGCATGGTGTGGACAGATGAGGCTCAGTATCCTCTTCATGGTCAAATAAGTACGTCTAATTATGTCATCAAGAGTAACAGTAGGTCAATCCTTGAACTCCCCAAAGGTCACCATGTTGTGCGATCTCCATCTGGTTTTACCCTAAGGCCGTTATTTTCTGAGGAATTAACACCTGAAGTAAGGTTTCGTGTTAAGTCTGTCAGAATAACATTGTTTTGAATTGTTGCATGTTCGTATCATACCAGGAGTATAACAGCATGAATGTTTTCAACTTATCACATATATGCAGGACAGATCTTTATCAAAGTTCGGGTTTTCAGTAGCCATTTCATTGTGCCTGGCCATCACACTCACTTGAACACCTCACCCTTGCTGGCTACTGGTTATAGGGTTTTAAGAAGACTCTTGTCATCACTCTGGAATCATTACTCAACTGAAGGATGTTATTGTGACAGAAACGTGGATGCAGTAATATATAATTATGATGGCAACATTCAAAAGTTGGCATAATGGCGGCTCCTGGTGCCTTTTTTCAGGCACCAATCAAACGCTTTTGTGTGATACACATATTCACGTACCCAAAATCAGTATAACGAAAAGACGATTCATATTTGATTTTATGGACTTATAATTATTATTGGATATAAAATTATCTATTTTTAATTGGTAATGTGTTTTAGAAACGACTACTTTCTCTCGTAATCGAATGAATATGCGTATCTTGCATTACTGGTATATAAATAATATTTCTTTAAATTTTTTCATATACCTTGAGCGTATCCCAGTCAACTTCTTACTATGTATGACTATGAAGAATAACAGTTTATTTTTTTCATATCTTTGTTCTAGATGCTCCTGTCTGTAAATCTGGCCAAAAAACCGTTTTTGGTGTCGACAGATTGGAATCTGTTAATATCAGATGCGAAACTCTGGCAGACCCTTCTGATCTTACATTTTATTGGTCTTTAAATAATACTTTTGAACGGATTGAGCTGCACTCTTTTATAACTAATGGAACGGTCAGCAAAATCACATACAGGCCAAGAACGAGATACGGTTATGGTGTGTTGAACTGTTGGGCAAGAAATGAAATTGGAATACAAAAAGAGCCCTGTCACTTTAGTATCATACCTGCAGGTAAGAGTTACATGTGAAATTCAGCTATTAATCGTTTACCTTCGATGAATAACCCAATAATATTACGGGAGTATTAAGAACGAAACGGGATTATATTTCTTGTGGGCCAAGCGCTTCCATCACAACCAACAAACGAACGTCAAATGTGTTGAGAATAGTGGCAGTTAGACTTCTCTTCTGAGCGTAAGATTCATTATGTATAAAGCATTTCTTTCATTTTTTGTTCATAAGCTTCATCATATAATTTTGGTAAAATTATAGGTATGGAATTACGAATCTATTTGGGTACATCTGCTTTATTAAGAATAACATGTTGTCTGGAGATTTTTTTTTCATGTAGATCTTCTAAGAGAGGATGAAAAAAGCTACTACAAGGCTATAAGCAGGATGGTAAAGGACAGTTTCAACTAACAACTCCAATGCAGTTGGTACAAGACAAGCAATATGGGCCTGCTACACCTAATTGCAGACGAACACCACCTATTAACAATCATTCCTCAATCGCTATTTACTCATCTCTAGTGTATTAGAAAGAAAATCGCGTTTCTTTAATTAATATATTAATCAAATTATATTAAATATGTCTTCTTTAGAATTAAGTTTTAGTTGAAATTATGACTTCGTATTCTTGATCTTTTTGTAAATTTAAATATGCATCATATTTATCTCACAAGTGTTTCAAAATAAATTACAACGCTCTTTTATTATTTTCTTTGAGTATTTTAACACATATATATATAAATCTTGAATGCTTTTCGTTTAAATAACATAAATTAAGATCAGGCTAATTATAATTCTTTATTTCTTATAATGGAAAATTACCCGTGCCTTTAGTATGTTAAACATGAAAGGTAATAATCCCTTGTTAATGTATTCTTCACAGTTGTTTTAGTTTTTATTCTACATAATGCAAATTCATTAATTTGTTTATCGACAGAATTAGCATAAAATAAGCTTCAGTTCCTTAGAAATCGAAAAATGACGTGAGAAGTGGTTATTATTTGTAGTAATATTGTTATCATTATTTCTGTCGCTTGTATTATTATTTAATAATTGATAACGATATTGTGCAGCACTATCTTTCAGTAAACGGTAATCGGTGTTTAGAAATTTTGGTAAGTAAGACTGCCAAATAGGGATATAGGCGTTTATGTAAGACAGATATACAGCGTGCTCCTAAATTATTGAACTATTTCTAAATTGAATAGAATAGAACCATAGAACCATGCCAGGTAACAATCGCGGTTTTCGGCGTGTGGGAGAGTGGACACTGAAGGTATTTTTTTCTCCACTAGTTTGATGGAGGTATGTGAAAAACATTATCTATAAAACGAAGGTACCGGCTATGGCATACTTTTGTAAACATTATCTATAAAACGAAGGTACCGGCTATGGCAAACTTTTGTAAACATTATCTATAAAACGAAGGTACCGGCTATGGCATACTTTTGTAAACATTATCTATAAAACGAAGGTACCGGTTATGGCAAACTTTCGTAAACATTATCTATAAAACGAAAGTACCGGCTATGGCAAACTTTCGTAAACATTATCTACAAAACGAAGGTACCGGCTATGGCAAACTTTTGTAAACATTATCTATAAAACGAAGGTACCGACTATGGCAAACTTTTGTAAACATTATCTATAAAACGAAGGTACCGG